CAACTTACCTACATACAGGAATAGTGACATACAAGTACTTCATCTTGACAGACTTTTAAGGAAATGAGCATCTACACATAAAAGCCATATCCCCCTACACCTCATACTTTCACTGTATGCTGTTGTAGCAGAGAGTCCATGAGAACTGGTTAAGATAAATTATTTTCCTGTGCAGATTGGCTCCAAACCAAGTATCATTTTTGAAACTAATAAACATATTAATAATGCTAGCATTATGCCCTTATTCTTAACAACCCTATTGTAACAACTATATGTAACATGACTTTTGAGATCAAAGTTTAAAACAAGGCACAGTTCCACACAAACTCACACGCCTTCTCCCTGCATGAACTTGATTGTGCAGACAACTCCAGTACAAACTTATTAGTAATTTCCTTCACCCACTTCAACTACCCTGGCTAAAAAAATACTTTATTTTGAAGACTCTGTCTATTTGTAAGTTACTTTTGTTCGCTTAGTTGAATGAACCATCAACAGCTTTCTCATTTTCTTCCATGTCTGACAATTCTGTAGCAGCATCAGCATAGCATTCCAACTATCCTTATGCTTTCTCTATATAAACTCTAAATCATGGCCTTATTTTTTCTATGCAAAAGACAGAAAACAAGGGAACTGAAAGGAAATTCCTACTCCTGTGGATTATTTATAAACTGTGGTTGAATGCGGTAACTTTTTTATTGACTGTGGCATCTATGGTCTTCTTTGAACAGTGGTAAACCAAGGCAGATGCAATGAAAAGTGTATGAAAGTGACATTTAGGAATAATTAAAATAGAATCCTCTCCTGGATTAATTAAGAAGCATTGCTAAAGTTCAAGTGGAAGGTACCACTTCAGTACAAATGTACTCTTCTGAAAGAGAAGGGAAGGCTCAGGTAGGAGGACAAAGAACACCTGCATGCCTGAAAGAACAATAAGAAAAAAAATACCTCTTTGAATAAGTGAAAACTTAAGACGGTTTGACTACTTCGGACACTTTGACTACTACTGAAACAGCTTTTGCTTGTGAGTTTGCATTTGCTGCTTCACATCACAATGCTAGTCACAATTTTGTCGCTGGTCCTATTCTCCTACACATCTGCCACTGATGTGTAAGAGGTCAAGAAAGCATGGGATGGCCTTAGGATGCATTTGCACTTGTAAGGCAGTATCTTTGATGTTCTAAAGACACTTATTTGATTTGCTGTCATAGCAAATGTTAATTTGTGTATAATAAACAGAACCTTGGGGGAGAAAATCTATACAATTAGCACATCAATTAGACTGTTCTTCTGATATCAATGCCCATTGACTTCTCCATAAATTCTCTTTCATAACTAATATGAATCATGAATTAATCATAAGGACTAGAAAACTTAACACCATCCAAAGTTCATAAATCCTAACAATACAGCATTAAACATTTATTTTTTAAAAATATTGTCACTGATCCATCTGAATCCACAAGCAGCCTATGTGTGCATACTGAATACATAATTCTGGCAGCCCTCTAGCAACAGATGGTTTTAGTTGTGCTTAAAAGTTTGCAGCTACCAGAGTGGAAGGATGAAGGAAAACTTCATTTTTCCCACCAAATGGAGAGACTGCTTTCTTCCTGTCCAGATTCTGCACTCTAAATATGGTGATTTGCAGCTATCCAAGTCAATCTATCCAGACTACCCCCAAAATGCATCATTTTGCTTGTGGGTGTATCCTGCTTTCCCACACTGTGGTGGCACCAACAATCACGCAGCTGTTTGGGGAACAGGCTATTTAGGTAGTTTGACTGGGGAGAAATTAGCATGGGGGAGGTTTGGTTGGGTTGGTTGTTGGATTTTTTTAGATGTTGCTTTCATCTACATCAGTTGGCTGATCTGACTACCGCTTTGCCATGTGATCACTGGTGCTGATGGAAAAGGGGTCCAAGGCCAGGCTTAAATTGGAATATAAAACCTCACACCATGATGCACTTAAGATGATTGTAAAAGCTGACCTTTAAAAAGCTGACCTTTAATCTCTGCCAGCCTCACTAGGCTGGCTTGATTCCCTCTTCGGTTTCCCAGAAGGTAAGTCTAGTTTGTCCCTAGCATAAGGAACATAATATTGAGGTTTAGAAGTACTACCACAGGCAGAAAAGAGGTTGCATTAAAAGGTTATTTTGTGACCTTTTTTTTTTTTTTTTAAATGGGGCTGGTTTTTATTTCCCTTTACAAGAAAGATTCTGTTTGGAAAACAGAATTTGGACCCCAAAGAAAAAATATTCAGAAGTTTTGATCTTGATTAAAAAGGCACTCTTTTGGCAGAAGGTAAACAGGAATGTACCAAGCTACCGTTAGGCTGATGTTCTTTCTATAGCAGAGTTCAGCTCTTTGCTCAGCAACACATGGATGGTTGTTGAGACACACTCAACAGAAGGACCCAAGACTACAATAACTTCTTTTTTTTCTCATTCACTGACAAACTCACTCCTGGACTAAGTGAGGACATTTGTTGATTCCTCTTTAAGGGACAGGAGTGGGTATTTTGAAGAATGAGGTGTTTAGGGTTTGGCCTTTGTGTGTATATGCAAACAGATGAGGCACGAAGAAACCAGGCAGTGGAAGAGGGGAACATGTTTGATGAGGAGAGGCTAATGGACACAAGGAGAGTTGGAAGGAAATTCCATAGCAAGGAAAGAGAGGAAACAGCTCTCTGCTGATCAGTATACCTTCTTGTTAGGCAGAATGAATACTGCCCTACCTCAATCAAAGCAGATGTTCTCATAAAGTGAAATTTCCCCTTACCAGCCTTACCTTACATGTAGTGTATGCACTACCACAAGCAGAGCTGGCCACAGAAAAATGAGCCAGCAGAGATGAGAGAGAGCTTGGATGATCTTGTGTATATACTGAGAACAGAGGCCAAGACCAGAAGTGGAACCTCATCATCAATGAATTTCTGTGGGTTTTTTCACCAGTTTCAAACATAGCATTCATAAGAACTAACAGAAAGAATCATGAAATAACAGCCTCCATTTAAAAGAAAAAGCTGCATAACTGTTACTCAGCAGAATATGCACCTTGTGCGCTACTTCTGTCTCCTGAAAGACCAGTTACCTTTTACTTCTCCTGATTCTTGGGTAGCCAAAATAAACTGAGGATACAGGGTTGGCTGCAAGAATTAGTGCTGAGATGCTCTTGATTCTGGTCACCTACGTTTTCCCCACAAAAAGTCCAAATAATGTAGGCCTACTCATATTGCCATATAATTCCTCAGTGTTTTCAGAGAGTTGCCCAGTGTGTAAAGTAATGCTAGTCTCTCCCAAAGAAGAGTTTGGACACGTTGCATTGAGTATTGCAGTGCTCATTGTGTGACAGTTTGGGTTTTTTTTAAACTCGCAAACATACACACACCACCTATACTGAAAAAAAAGTTTAGGCTTCTATCAATCATCTACCTTTCAGGAAATGCATGAATTAAAAACACTTATATGATGCTACTTTGTCTTCTTGCTCACCTGCTCTGTGATGAGTGAGGTCAGATTCTGTCCCAAAGTAGGCTCTGATCATGTTCTTATCATAACAATCATGCACAAAGTCACAGAGTTGAGGTTATGAATGCAATAATGATTCTCCTCCACTTTACTTTTATTCCATTTTACATTTTACTCCATTTTCCTTTTAAGCCTTTTACAGTCTTCACTGTGGACCTAGTTTTAAGATACTCATAATGTTTGGGTTTTTTTTTTTAAATCTGCCAAAATTTCCTGGGAAATGAATATCAGACCAAACCACAGGTATTTTTAAGAGTTTTTATTTCAGCCAAACTTGACATGAATTTCAAGAGGATATACAGGAAGGAGGGTTGGGGTGATGAGAGGAAACAGATTGGTGACATTAGACTTTCCATTTAAAAAGGCTGGCTTATTAGGCACTGTAATATACAAGCAGTTATAGAGGAACCTATTGATTATTCTGCAAGCTTGTAACAGAGAAGTAGAAATACAAGTGAAATGTACAGCTGAAGGCCCTATGGTCACATGAAATTTTAAAAAAGTATAGCAAGATACTAAGATCAGAAACAGACACGCAGTCACAATATTTATATCACTATGGTCATTTTAAGTTTAGGGGTTTTTAGTTCAGCTTTAACATCTACCAACCAGCAGAAGTCAATTATCCCTTTTACCACCCTTTACCCGCTCACTGTTTAGAGAGAATGGGTGGAGAGTTAACAACTGCTTATATTCACATTATAGGTCATTTCAGAAAACCCTCCCTAGGTTTAGGAGTCACATCAAACCAGAGAAAAAAACAGTATCTGTAGAACTGAGGGAGAAAGGAGAGAAAATGAAGGGAAAGGAGGGAAAAGTCAAGGCAAAGGCAAAAACCTATATTCCTTTCACCTCATTTTAGATAAAAGTTATTAATTTGATCTAGACTGATCAACCAGGCTCCCTTCATAATCAGACAACAGAGAAAGCCTTAATGCTACTGGAGTGATTTATCTCCATTTTAATGCCTATGGCATAAATCACAATCAAACTGGCATCATCTGTATTTCTCTATAGGCCTAAGAGATGGTTCCATGACAACTGACTTACATTAGATGTTCTCTTTCTGTATAGCTAACACTATGTGAACTAAACTGCACTCTCCACTGAGATGTGTAAGTTAGGAGTGAAGTTGCTTCACATTTCACTTACAGTTGTGAGAGGGAGAGAAAGAGAAGAGACAGGCACCTCCAGGATTCAACTCAGCTCCCTTAATATCTCAGAATTTTATGACCATTCTAACACAAAAGAGTGCAACAAAGCTTATGCCTGGCATGGATATAATGAAATCAGATTAATGTAACAAAGAAATACACAACTACATGCTTTTAAAAAGTTATTTTTGAGCTAGAAAAACAGTGAAATGATCCTATCATCTTAAAAGAAATTTCCTGCACTTTCACATTCCAAGTTGAAATCACTTTGACTATTAGTCATTCACCCTTTACTAATTCAAACATGCACACCTACCTTTATAGTAACGTTTCCTTTTGTTATTTTTCTCATATTGAAGCCCACTGTAGGAATCATATCTTCTGTGAACTGCCCTGACTAGAATAAAAAAACCCACAAGATTTCTATTTATTATAAAATACTTGATACACAGCAGATAAGTTTCTCATTTGCCATGCAAAATTTTTATTTTACAACACTGTAAAATACTGCATTAATTTTCTCCAAGAGCACTGGCCAGCACTTCAATTAATGCATTGTCACACCAAGGAAGACTGTTCATTTCAGCCCCTTTAAATGATCTTTTATTTTCCTCAGTGACAAAGATCACCTCAGAAACCACAAGACTTCATATAATTCTTCATCTGATCCTTCAGCAAACCAGAAATCAGCACAGTCAAAATACAGAATCATGGAATCATAGAATGGTTGGGTTGGAAGGGACCTTTAGAGGTCATCTAGTCCAACCCCCAATACGACAAGGTATGATACAACTGACTATACCAGGATTTTTCCCTGTAGTTTCTCACTACCTTTACCAATGCTTTGACTCCAAATATACTAAACAGTAAACGAGTACTCATGTAGAGAGTACTATGTACAGACCCTTTCTTTCTGAGTAGGTGACAGCAGAGGATCCTCATTGTGGAAGCTAAGAGAATGCCATTAAGACAGAAAAATATGAAGTACTAACTCAGCACAACATAAAACCAAAACATAAAACCAAAGTGCTGCCTCTTGCCCCAGTTCAGAGAAATATTTTTGCAAGACAAGATGCTTGTTATCATGCCAATGGAAACCTCACCCACATCTACCCACTACAGAAGACTGCTTTTGAGGAGAAAAGTGAAACTCAGATCTAAGTAGATAACGCATTATTCATTCTTCCTTTTCAAAATGTATCATTAATAAGGTATTATGTCTCCAGGCATGGTGCATTAAGATACGCAGATGGTTACTTAACAGTTATGTCTACTTTCAAGGCCCAGGGACTCTCTGCAAAATACATAGTAGCCCTGGTTTTCCAGTCATCCAGAAAGGGGAGCAGGACCTTCTGGACTTGCCATTGCCCTTCCATATCTATCTGCCCATATTCCCTTCACCCACCTCATTATCCCATGTGCCCTGCTGGTTTTTTTGGAAGAAAATACAGGTATGTGGACAGGGAGGGAAGCAGGCATGCTCCAACACGTCCCTCCTACCTGAGAAGTGGATGATCCAGTGGCTTCAGGGTCCACTGGAGCAGCTACGTGCCTCACAGTGCACACATTGCCACCAGCCATCCCTAGTGCTACTGCTAGTCTCTGTACATTTTCTGCAACTTTTCTCTTCACTGTTCACGGCACAGTGAGAATACATTATGCCTCCAGTTTGTGTTCACAAACTAAGATTAATTATTTTTAATCTGAGACTTTAAAAGCTGTATAATCTTTGACAATTACTTGATCCTCTCACAAGATTTTGCCTTTTGGAATTAGATCCTTTAGGCAAGAAATGACTTCCACCAACTACTTGTTCAACCTTACCTATGGGAGCCTTCCTGCTAAATTCTGTACTATACACCTTCCCCATCGTTTTGTTTCTGAAAGTCTCTTCTTTTCCTCCTCTTTCCTTGCTTCAGTGACTTGTCAACAGCAGTAGGAAAAAACAGTGAAGACAAATGCACCTGCAGTCTTGTACAGCTACACGTACCCAGCAATGACAGAAGGTTTTAATCGGATGGAGTAAGACAAAAACAATCAGTAACCATCTTCTGTAGCAGGTACTGGCCTAATTTGTTTAAACATATAGCACATTTATTTGTGGAGAACAGACATATAAACACATATGAACACATAAACCCTGAGAATGTAGCATCATTGGAATGCCTGGAAATCCAGCCAGCTGACTCAGGAGGCTATTGGTTAAACAAACTCATCAAAAGTCAGGATTCCACTTCTGTCAGCAAATTATGTACATATTACAGTATGTAATATGCTAAACTGGAAGACAAAAATAAAAAAAAAAATCATAACTGCTCTGGTATTGTGGACAGAATCCAAAGAATTAATGTCCCCTTTATTGTTCTTTAGTCTTTTCCTCTAAAAATTTTCCATTCTGGTTGAATGGAACCAGCTACAAAGAAAGTATTATGTTTACAGCTCTTTATTTTCCCACACAATGAAGAAAAGAAAGTAGTATGTTGAATCTTTTGCCTGCATTATTCCAAAAGCTCTGATTACTGTGTTTTGTTTCAAGTGCTGTATGCACCATAAAATAAAAAATCTGTTCCATTTTGCTTGCTAAGGAAGTTTTACATGACAAATTACCTATTTTTGTGAATATTCAAGATGTGCAAACAAGTTTATTGTCATATCGCAGTAAAAAAAGACATTACCTCCTGACACAGATGAAAATAACTGATGCTAAGAAGTTTGTAATGTCCTCTTTAAACATTGCTGAATATTGAGGTGACAATGAATATTGTCATTACCCCGACCACATCAACAACCATGGGCCAGATTCTACTCCATTACTTCAGTGCACATCTATAGTAAAAGGCAGTGTCGTCATCCAAGGTTTCCACTGGTAACAGAGGACTAAATATGGCTCAAACTCTTTGGGGAAGAGACTGTCTCAAAGGGTGTTTATTCAGTGTTAGCATCATAGGATGTCTGAATACTACTGAAAAATGGAAAAAAAAGTAATTTCCTACTGTTTGTTTTTATGATCCACTGCAGTCTGCATTTTAAGTAACCACTATTTTGTAGTGGTTATTTTCATCTCATCACACTCTAGCCACATACACACAAACACACATAGAGTTCTCAATCTATTTGCCATCCCCACATCAACTGTATTCAAGAGTAAGCCTATTATCCATTGCCTTACCCCCAAATTCTTCAGCCACCCTTCTTCAGTGATTATCATGGTGTGTCATTTCCAGATTGAAAGATCCAAAAGCTACAAAGTCTGCAATCTGTGACACTCCCCAAATCAGAAAACGTGTATGCCTTGCAGACTATTCTTATGCAATACGTTTGCTGGCAAAATCAGACCTACAGTAACAGCAGTGCACTGGAGTTCAAGATATTAGCACAAGAGAGACAAACACATATGATGCCATTCCACAGGTAATGTAGTATAAAATGAGTGGACAAACATTTACACACGCAAAGTCCAATACCACGACTGTTATACGTCTCTGAACTGCTGTGTTCTTCTTTGTTCCATTTATGAGATCAATCCAAGAAGCAATATCATTTGTCATACCTTTTCCCCCTTCCTCAGCAAAGCTCGCCCTTGGGAAACAAACACTTCCAACGGGCACGAGGAGTGTGTGTTACCAAGCCTGTGTTACCATGATTGCCTGGATGCTTCACAAACTAACTAGAATATCAGTTCCAGGAATTTTCTGCTTATTGATCACTGATGTCCCTCAATGCAATCCTACACCATTCCTTTTTCTCCTTCTCTCTCTCCACCTCTTCACTCACCCTAATCTATTTTTCTCTTAATCCATAAAGTTTATGAAAGCAAACAACAAATATCATATACTCATGTTCATCATTGTCTCAATCTCTTTCACTTTAGGCCATACACCTCCCAGTCTAGTTTTGACTCTTGATCCAGTAACTTTTCAGGATAAGGACTGAAGAACATCTGGAAGCCCATATGTCATGGCAGGTGAAGCTGCAATACATCTAACAGCAGTGATCACCTCGTAGAAAAGAGCCTGCACTGAGAAGGTTCGTGATTAGTACTAACCCTGATTAATATATATATTTGTTTCCATCTTCCAATGGCAAGTAAATCTTCGGGATGGACGCAAATGCTGAAGGGCAGAGGGCATACCAAACAAAGATGAGGAATATATTTCAGCATGGCGACAAAATGGAAAACGTCATGATAGAGGTCAGTGTTAGAGAGCAGCAAGGCTGCAAGGCAATTGTCGCAGCGGGAATGCCAAAATCAGACTTGAATGATGGGAAAGAGCTATCAAGGCATTGTGGGAGGTATTAAAATTGATGCAACTGATGGGAGGGGAGAATTCTGTAACAGGGGACTTGTGGCCCTGGAGGATGCACAATATATTGAGTTATTTTGGGATACACTGGCCATGAAAAGCCAACCCTGAACCACAGGCAAAGGCCCATGCCCAGGAATCTCCTTTGAGACAGGTACGTTTTGCAGTCAGACACGGGAGACATTTTCTTTTCTCCCTCTTAAGACAATTTCACATCCACCTGAGCCTGCTGTGAAATTCTCCAGGTTGCAAAGGATGCAAGAGCTACCTCACTGCCCGCCCGCCACCCTCCGCAGCGGAACGCCGCGCCGCGGGACCTCATGAGAGGAGGCGGCCTCGCCGCAGGCCGCGGAGGCAAAGCCCGCACCTGTTGCCGGTGGAAGCGA